AAATGGGGGGGGGGATGGAGGAAGGAAGAAAAGGGAATGGAGGGAATGGATGGAGGAAGGAAGGAATGGATAGAGGAAGGGGATGAAGGAAGGAAGGAAAGAAGGAAGGAAAAGAAGGGGGGGGAGGACAGTTGGAAGAAAAGGAAATGGGGGGGCGTAGAAGAAAGGAAGAGAAGGGAAGGGAAAGGAGAAAAGGGAGGGAGGGAATTGATGGAGGAAGGAAGGAAAATGGATGAAAGAAGGAGAGGAAGGAGGGGGGGAGGGAAGGAAGGAAGGATATGAAAGGGAGGGGAGGGAGGAAAGATTAAGGGAGGGGATGAAGGAAGGAAGGAAGGAAGGAAGGAAGGAAGGGAAGGAAGGGAGGGAGGAAGTGAAAAAAGGAAGAATGAAGGAAGGGGAGGGAGGGGGAAAGAAGGAAGGAATGATTGAAAGACGAGGAGGAGGGTAAGGAAAAAAAAATGAAGGAATGGGATAGAGGAAAGGAATAAAGGTAAAGGTAAGAAAGAGAAAAGGGAGGAAGGAAGGAAAGAAAGAAAAAAATGGATGGAGGAAGGAATGAAGGAAGGGGAGAGAAGGAAGAAGGGAGTAAGTACGGAAAGAAGGGGAGGGAGAGCAAAAAGAAGGAAGGGAGAGAGGGAGGGAGGGAAAGAAGGAAAAAATGAAGGGAGGGGATGGAGGGGAAAGAAGAAAAGGGAGGAAGGGAATGGATGGAGGAAGGAAAGGAAATGGATGGAGGAAGGAATGAAGGAAGGGGAGGAAAGGAAGGGAGGAAGGGAAGAAAGAAAGGGAGGAGGAAGGGAATAGATGAAAGAAGGAAGGAAGGAAAGAAGGGAGGGAAAGAAGGAAGGAAGAAAAGGGAGACAAGAAATGGATGGAGGAAGGAAGGAATGAAGGAAGGGAAGGAAGGAAAGGGGGGGAGGGGAGAGGAGGGAGAGGGAGGGAGGGGGAGAGGGGGGAGGGAGAGAGAGGGGGAGAGAGGTAGGAGGGAGTAGTATATATATTTATATATATATATTATTTATTTTTTTTTTTTTTTGTATGTATTTTTTTAAACAAAACCTCCTGTTTTGGGCTACAGTTCTTTACGAGTCACTGATCTTCTACAAGTATGCAACAAGATCAAAGAAAAGATGCACCAGCCTAGTGCATTATCAATAAACATCATTTATTAGAATATATGATAAGTGATTATTGTCACAAACCAATAGAAAATAAAGATTCATCACAAATATCTGAATGAAGGACAGCCAGAACCACTATTTTGCAAAGTAGATAGAATAGGGAGAGATTTCAGGAAAGCAGTTAGTAATAGGTAAAGCTTCCTGACAATTAGGGACAGGTTAGTGATTTGCAATCTCCTAAGAATCCTATCTTTGGAACTGGACCTGCCAGGCTGCACTTCTCCCTGTGAAAAAAACAGACGCTGTTGGTGCATCTCTTACTGCTGCATCTCTGCATGTGAACTCAATCGTGAGTGTTTTCCCTAGAGGCGCTCTCCCACCTAGGATGTTTGTAGTTTGACATTCTCTTCAATACAAGCTTTACGTTTTATTACTACTGGATTGTTTGTCCTAACTGCTGCCGCAACACACTGCACCTACCCACAGGAAGAACCCTTTATTTGGACATTTGTTATGAGTCAGTATCTCAAAAGAACTGAAGCCACTAGATCAACTTTAAAAAGGCAATTTTAGGAGAGGCTGGAAGAATATGTATTTCTCTCTCGGGCCTGCCTTAATGAAATGGTAAAGCACAAACAATTTAAAAGTAGTCAAATTAAAATCAAATTTCACAACAGTACTTTATTTCATCATGTTATATTTTAAAAATAGTAAGGATCTGGGGCAGAAATATTGATTACATCCAGATTTTGAAACTTTCAAACTGCTTTTGTGTGTTTCATGTGCCTTTGGGAGATTATTAAAAACATGATTCATTCAGCGGAAATGTTATCAGAACATAAAAACTGCCTTTGGTCAAACAAAGAAATCCAATAACCAAATGTGCAGTACAGTAGTACCTTACAAGTCAGCAGTCTGTAATATTTACACTAGCTGCATCCATAGCTGTTTTAACATGCATTTGCTTACAGGGATCAAGCATTTTGTTTATTATATGATAGTTTCACGTTGAAGCCTGCATATAAAAGCAAACACAAAGAACCTCCCAGGAAGGAATGTATTGCAAATCACTTGTTATCTCTGTCGGAGATCTGCTGCTACTGAATTCTCAATCACTTTTTATGCATCTAACTAAACAAAGCTGAAAGAATTGAAACAATGCTGTGTACTGCTTTAATAACCAAAAATTAACTAAGCATCAGCTTTCCAATTTATAGTTCTGTAAAAGACAAAGATATAATTTCTAGTAGTTACAATGCAATTTACTTAGCTAAAATACTTCAACTATGCTTTTTATCCTAACATTTAGAAATGCCATCAAAGTTCCAGCACAGAAGTAAACCAAATTTTTTTTCCCTATTTTGCACTCGTTTAATTTAGTTGTAATCCATATCTTTGCTTTTCACACACTGTTGGTTTTTTATGCTAACATAAAGACTGAATAAAAAGATAAAATAAGACATCTTCAGTTACTAGTAAAGTTTTGCTAGGTTCCTATCAGTAAATTCCATTTGCAGGAGGGCAGCTGTGGCCAGAGGGATCTCTGGGTTATCTGAGGCTGCACCCTGGCCAGATGATCATTACAATTCACTTCACTTGTAACTGGAATACTGTCAGAATATTCATTCCAGTATCCACACCTTAAGGCTCAGTGAAAATGCTCACTAGGTCTGAACTTGCCTTCCCTGTAAAGTGGTTCTGTTTTCTCTCATACTGTCACACTGCAGCACAATTTTTCCTCTGCACATTACTTGACATTTCAGGTTTTGGAGTTACCATTAGAAAATACAGACTTATTTAAAGATCCAAGTATAAAAGTTTATTTGTGCTTAACAAAGGTAAAATCAGAGCCAGGGTTATCTTAATTTGAAAGATCAGGTATAATTAGGAAAATAATCCACTCCAGTGGGTAGACAACCAAAGCTGCTACCAGGCGTTGTTAACCACTTGCCCTCTGGAAGATTGACCCCCCTTCATGACCAGGTTTTTTTTTCTACTACATGGCACTGGGCTACTTGAACTTTTTTTTTGCGCTATAAACAAAAAAAAAAGAACAAACATTTTGAGGAAAAAAACCCTAGTTTTTACTTTTTGTTATAAAACATATCCAATAAAATTTAAAAAAAAATTTAATTTCTTCATAAATTTAGGCCAAAGGGTATTCTGCGAAATGTCTTTGGAAAAAAAAAAATCCCAATATGTGAATATTAATTGGTTTATGTGAAAGTTATAGTATCTACAAATGACAGTATATATACCGGAATGTTTTTTTTTATACTAGTAATGGCAAAGATCAGCGACATATAGTGGAACTGCAAAAGTACGGATGGCAATCTGACACTGGCTAACTGACACTGACATCATCAGTGACACTAATACAGTGATTAGTGCTAATAAAATGCACTAACACTGTAGTAATGCCCTCTACTCAGCCTGATGCCTCTACTCAGCCTGAAGCCTCTACTCAGCCTGAAGCCTCTACTCAGCCTGAAGCCTCTAATCAGCCTGAAGCCTCTACTCAGCCGGATGCTTCTACCCAGCATAATGAACTGATCCAGCCTGATGATCCTATTAGGCCAGTTGACTCGATGCCCGCTGTTGATCCAGATGATCCGGTACCTGATCCGGTGCCCGCTGTCGTGCCAATTGACTCAGAGCCCGCTGTTTGTACCTGGTGACTCGGTGCCCACGACAGGCATCGGGCCCCCAGGCGGGGTGACAGGCATCGGGCCCCCAGGTGGAGCAACAGGTCTCGGGCCCCCAGGCGGAGCGGCGGGCACCGAGTCACCAGGCACGACAGTGGGCACCGAGTCGTCTGGCAAGACTGCGGGCACCGAGTCGCCTGGCAAGACTGCGGGCACCGAGTCAACTGGCGGAACAGCGGGCATCGAGTCAACTGGTGGAACTGCGGGCACCGAGTCGTCTGGCAAGACTGTGGGCACCGAGTCGTCTGGCAAGACTGCGCGGGCACCGAGTCGTCTGGCAAGACTGCGGGCACCGAGTCGTCTGGCAAGACTGCGGGCACCGAGTCGTCTGGCAAGACTGCGGGCACCGAGTCAACTGGCGGAACAGCGGGCACCGAGTCAACTGGCGGAACTGCGGGCACCGAGTTGTCTGGCAAGACTGCGGGCACCGAGTCATCTGGCAAGACTGCGGGCACCGAGTCGTCTGGCAAGACTGCGGGCACCGAGTCGTCTGGCGGAACAGCGGGCATCGAGTCTACTGGCGGAACTGCGGGCACCGAGTCGTCTGGCAAGACTGCGGGCACCGAGTCGTCTGGCGGAACAGCGGGCATCGAGTCAACTGGCGGAACTGCGGGCACCAAGTCGTCTGGCAAGACTGCGGGCACCGAGTCGTCTGGCAAGACTGCGGGCACCGAGTCATCTGGCAAGACTGCGGGCACCGAGTCGTCTGGCAAGACTGCGGGCACCGAGTCAACTGGCGGAACAGCGGGCATCGAGTCAACTGGCGGAACTGCGGGCACTGAGTCGTCTGGCAAGACTGCGGGCACCGAGTCGTCTGGCAAGACTGCGGGCACCGAGTCGTCTGGCAAGACTGCGGGCACCGAGTCGTCTGGCAAGACTGCAGGCACCGAGTCAACTGGCGGAACAGCGGGCATCGAGTCAACTGGCGGAACTGCGGGCACCGAGTCGTCTGGCAAGACTGCGTGCACCGAGTCGTCTGGCAAGACTGCGGGCACCGAGTCGTCTGGCAAGACTGCGGGCACCGAGTCGTCTGGCGAAACAGCGGGCATTGAGTCAACTGGCGGAACAGCGGGCACCGAGTCGTCTGGCAAGACTGCGGGCACCGAGTCGTCTGGCAAGACTGCGGGCACCGAGTCATCTGGCAAGACTGAGGGCACCGAGTCGTCTGGCAAGACTGCGGGCACCGAGTCAACTGGCGGAACAGCGGGCACCGAGTCGTCTGGCAAGAGTGCGGGCACCGAGTCGTTTGGCAAGACTGCGGGGCACCCGAGTCGTCTGGCATTGGATCGTCTGGCTCGACAGCGGGCATCGGGTCACCAGGTATGACAGCGGGCACTGGGTCACCAGGCATCAGGTCATTTGGCTCGCCAGTGGGCACCGCGTCATCTGGCAAGGCAGTGGGCACCGAGAGTCACCAGGTACGACAGCGGGCTCTGAGTCAATTGGCACGACAGCGGGCACCGGATCAGGTACCGGATCATCTGGATCAACAGCGGGCATCGAGTCAACTGGCCTAATAGGATCATCAGGCTGGATCAGTTCATTATGCTGGGTAGAAGCATCCGGCTGAGTAGAGGCATCCGGCTGAGTAGAGGCTTCAGGCTGAGTAGAGGCTTCAGGCTGAGTAGAGGCTTCAGGCTGAGTAGAGGCTTCAGGCTGAGTAGAGGCTTCAGGCTGAGTAGAGGCATCAGGCTGAGTAGAGGCATCAGGCTGAAGAGAGGCATCAGGCTGAGTACAGGCATCAGGCTGAAGAGAGGCATCAGGCTGAAGAGAGGCATCAGGCTGAACCACGGAAGGCAGGTTCTCAGACGGCAGGTTCACCGGTTTGGATACTGGCAGGATGGTATTGGTTGGAAAGAATTTTCGCTTTTTTCTGGTTTAAAACTACTGGGGCACTGCAAGTAAACGCAGGTCTGCAAATAAATGGAGCAGCTGGAGACAGAGAAGAGCTGGAGGATGGAACAGGGGAAGGAACAGTCGCTACAGAGGGCTTCTTTACAGGGTTAAAGGCAGGATAGGTGCAGCGAGTGGGAACAGGGTACTGACATGCGGTAGATAGCCAAGTATACTGGGCTGTAACTGGAGGAGCTGTTGGGAATACAGGAGTAGAGCTTTGAGGAGATAGATTAGAAGCAGGACTGGGTCTTTGTAAGCTGACTGAGGCTGGGTGTAACAAATCTGTCCATGTCTGCAGTATGGGTTGAACAAAGCTGAGCTTACACAAAGCCTGTCTGACCTAAGACTGCACTGCGTTTTTATACAATCTCTCTTAGTACCTGTGGTGAACATGTGGAATAACGCTCCAGAAAGTAACCCACATCATCCTCTAATAACCATACCAGGGACTCTACCTTGTCTGCACTAAATGGTGGCAAAAATTCATCCCTGCATTCGGGGGGGTACCAGATGAAACCAACTCAGCACAAACCTCAATCAATGGCTGCACCTCAGAGAAACTCTGTGCCCTGATCTACTAGAACATGAGCGAGCCGTATACATTCTAGCAGTTCATCCCGGGGATACTCCTTGTCAGGCTCCGCCCAACGGGATCTCTAGTGGTCCACGGCACGGGGTTTTCCAGGACGCGGAGTCTAAGTCCCAGTCTGCCTTTTCACCAGGGCCCTGATGGTGGGGGATGGACTTGGTGCAAGACTGAAACCAGGTCGCGTCCCTGGGCACCCCCGGCGGTGGCAGAGGGGTCCCGCTGAGGGTATGTGCCCGGGTAGAGCCTGCTGTGAAGGGGATGACAGATCCCGATCCGAGCGGGATGGATGGGATGACAGAATCCTGATCCGAGCAGGGATGGATGGGCAGCTATCAGGAGTAGGCGAGGTCAGACTAGCTGGGTCGGTATTGTGCGGGCAGCGTGGTACAAAGGGGGAGCAAGCGGAGAATGGTCGGGGTCACAAGCCAGGTTCAGCAGGTAGCGGGCAGCGTGGTGCAGGAGGTCAGGCAGAAGTATGGTCAGGGACGAGCCGGGGTCAGAGCAGAGAAGGTCAGCATAAACAGGACAGGCAGAGTTAGTTTGGCAACAAGAAGCGTACTTACAAACAGGAACGAGACCTTGCGGCAACTTGGAGATGCACAGGCAGCTTTAAATAGGGCGCCCTGCTCTCCCATTGGTGCGGCCCGCGATCGCTACTGCGCATGCGCGGCCGCCGCGATCGCCGAGGATTCTGCGCTCGCCGGCTGGGACGGATCGGCGGTCTGCGCATCGCGCGCGTCGCCGAGGACCCGGGATCCCTGACATTGCCCCCCCCTACGGGCAACCTCCGATGCCCAAACCGACCCCTACCCAATGGCTGGTTCCGAAAAAATTCCCGCACAAGCCTTGGGGCGTGCACATTTTGGGCCGGCTCCCATGAATTCTCCTCCGCCCCATATCCTTTCCCATTTAACCAGAAACTGAGTTTGGCTCCCCTCTTCCTGCAATCTAAGATAGCTTCAACTTCAAATTCCTCCTCCCCATCCACGTCTACTGCCTCCGGTGGCTTAGACCTTCGATCCGGGAAGGGGGTCTGGAGTTGCCGGTTTCAACAGGGATACATGGAAGACTGGATGAACCTTCATAGATTCGGGCAGTGCCAGCTCGTATGCCACCCCTCGTTGACCTTACGTTTGACCGGGAAAGGCCCCAAGAACTTGGGAGCCAATTTCTTTGAAGGGCAGGACATTTTTAAATTTGCGGTGGACAACCAAACCTGGTCCTCTGGCCGCAAACTCAATTCCCCTCTTCTCTTCCTATCAAAACGCCCTCTTGTTGTCATCCTGGCCTTTGCCATTGCCTCCTGCAATACCTTGCTATTGGTTGACAGAAAGGTCAACATATCCTGCGTGGCTGGGACTGCGACCTCTGGGATTAGATCTGCAGGAATACAGGGTGGAACCCATAGTTTGCGAAAAACGGGGACTGTCTAGTAGCAGAGTGACTTGCATTATTATATGCGAATTCCCGCAAGCGGCAGGAGAGTAACCCAGTCATCTTGGAGGAAGGTGGTATAGCACCTGAGGTACTGCTCTAGGGTCTGGTTTGTACGCTCCGTCTGGCCATTGGTCTGTGGGTGATAAGCAGAAGAGAACGATAACTTAATCCCCAGGGTTTCACACAGAGCTTTCCAGAACCTGGACGTAAACTGAACCCCTCTGTCAGATACAATGTCCCTGGGAATTCCGTGGAGTCTTACTACTTCCTTAATAAACACACGTGCTGTTTCAAGGGCCGTAGGTGTGTCCTTTAAGGGTACAAAATGGGCCATCTTGGACAGGCGGTCCACAATCACGAAGATTGCTGTGTGGTCCTGAGAAGGTGGAAGTTCCACGATAAAGTCAATGGAAATCATGGTCCATGGCCTGTCGGGAATGGGTAATGGGCGCAAGAGACCCCAAGCTTTATTCCTAGTGGGTTTGTTTCTCTGACACACGGGGCAGGTCTTAATGTAGGTTTCGCACTCCCTGGCCATATTAGGCCACCAGAAAGTACGCTGCAGCAGCTCCAAGGTCTTACGTACCCCGAAGTGCCCGGCCAGCGGGTGATCGTGGCAGTATCCTAATACCAATGTACGGGCCTCCTCAGGGACCACAATCTGATCCTCCTTCCAAAAAAGTCCTTCCCTATTTAGTAAGGGAACCCCAGGTGGACCTTGCATTCCTACGGACGCGGTCTGCAGTTGAGAATGGAGCTCCGATTGGAGAACTAAGAAATTTCCTGGGGACAGGATAGTGTCTGGCTTGGGGTTCTCTTCGGGATCCCCAAACATGCGGGAGAGCGCGTCTGGTTTTGTGTTCTTGGACCCTGGCCTATAGGTTATATGGAAAAAGAACCGTGAAAAGAACAGCGCCCACCTGGCTTGACGTGGCCTCAGACGTTTAGCTGTCCTCAGATACTCTAGGTTCTTATGATCCGTAAAAATCAATATTGGGTGTACCGCCCCTTCTAACAAGTATCTCCATTCCTCTAGTGCCACCTTAATCGCCAAGAGCTCCCGATCCCCGATATCATAATTCCTTTCCGCAGGAGTCAGTTTCCTGGAGAAGAAAGCCACTGGGTGCATGAGTTCTTTGATGCCCTTCCTCTGGGACAGGATCGCCCCGACCGCATTCTCGGATGCGTCCACCTCCAAGATATATGGCAAGGACGAATCAGGGTGGCTCAGAATAGGAGCCGCCGTAAACAATTCCTTCAAGGCTTCGAAAGCCCTCTGTGCCTCGGGTGTCCATTGGAAGCGAACGCCCTGCCTGGTCAGCTGGGTGATTGGGGACACTAGGCCCGAAAAGTTCTTAATGAACTTTCTGTAGAAATTCGCGAAGCCGATGAAGCGTTGGACCGCTTTCTTATCGGCGGGGGCTGGCCAATCTAAAATGGCCGAAACCTTTTGAGGATCCATGGCTATTCCCGTGGGAGAGATGGTTAGACCCAGAAATGAAATGCTACTCTGTTCAAAGCAGCACTTGTCTGCATTGGCATATAAGCTGTGTTGGCGGAGCCGTTCTAACACGCGCCTCACGTGACCTCTATGGTCCTCCAAGGTTGGGGAAAAGACAAGGATATCGTCCAGGTATACAATGAAGAAGATATCTAGGTAGTCCCTGAACACATCGTTTATGAAAAATGTTGGACAGGTGGCAGTGGGCGTTGCATAGGCCGAAGGGCATAACCAAGTATTCAAAGTGTCCGAATCTGGTACGGAATGCTGTCTTCCACTCGTCCCCCTCTCTGATAACAAGAACTAAATTATAGGCACCTCTCAAGTCTAGTTTAGTGAAGACAGATGCTGACTTCAGCCTCTGAAACAGCTCGGGGAACGAGTGGTAGCGGGTAACGGTTTTTTACTGTGACCTTATTCAAGTCCCGGTAATCTACGCAGGGCCGGAGGGACTTGTCTTTTTTCTCCACAAAGAAAATGCCCGCCCCGGCTGGTGACGTGGAGGGTCTAATAAACCCCTTATGGAGGTTTTCATCTATATACTCCTTTAGTACCCCTAACTCCCGCTCGGATAAGGGGAATATCCGCCCAAATGGGATTTCCGACCCCGGGAGGAGATCAATTGGGCAGTCATAAGCTCGGTGTGGAGGGAGAATGTCCGCCCCCCGCTTGCTAAACACGTCCAGAAAATTATGGTAAACTGACGGAATGACTTGCGCCAGCTCTGCATCTGTCTCTAGACACAACAAAGTCGGTGGCATCGGGGAGATCTTAGGGAGGCAATGCTGCTGGCAGTATGGGGAGAGGAACTGCATAGAACCCGCCTTCCAGTCCACCTGGGGATTATGGGCTCGTAACCACGGGAGCCCCAAAATAATTGGAAATAGTGGGGATGCTATGGCGTCCAACCGAAGGAGTTCTTCATGATGGGTCGATATGGTAGTACGGATAGGTGGGGTCTCGTGGTCCACCACCCCTGACTTAATACGTGATCCATCTGCTAGAAAATATTCAATCCCACCTCCTTGGTTTGTAGGGGAATTTGTTGCTGAACTGCAAAGTCTAAATCTATGAAGCAACTACACGCCCCAGAATCCACAATAGCCGTGGTCACCACTGTTCTCCCCGGCAGCTGAAGTGACACAGGTACCGCCAGATAACTAGTATTGCCCACACTGTTAGAAGTGACTGTAGAGAAAACAGCGGAACGTTTTGGTTTGGTGTTTTGGTGGTGGTGGGGGTGGGGTCTTACCCCTCTTAGGGGCTGGACAGGTACGTACCACATGGCCTGCTCCCCCACAGTAGAGGCAGAGATGGTTGGCAAGACGCCTCTGGCGTTTCCTCAGGCGTAAGTG